TCATATCCAGATTGTGGAGGTTGGACGTTAAATCGTTAATTTAAGTGTTTTCAGACTGAATAACCTCCACAACTAATGTGTGCAGTTGATTCACAGGATATCTAAAGTACTGAGGGGGGGGGGACCTTCAGCGCCAGCAGGCTCTTGTTGATCTCAGCTCCTTCGAGGCGAGTCTGGCGGTCGGCGCTGGAAGTGTCCGCCCCTCTCTCGTTCCCCGCCAGGTCGATGAGGGAGAACTTTCCGTGCATCTTCCCCCGCCGACGCAGAATGATCTGGAACACAGCGTGGCTCCGGGAGGAGTGAGCGTTCGCTGAGGTCTGACCAGAAGTCCTGAAGGAGACGCAGAGAACAAAAAAAAAAAAACGCCTTTAAAAAACTCTCTGACTCTATCACACTCACGCTCTAACTGCTCTGCTGCTGTTTCACCTGCAGCTGTTTCCCACTTCGATGAGTTTGAGGACGTCCTCTGTGCACTTCACCTCCCTCTCCTGCAGCCCCACCACCTGCACCTGCTGCTTCCCGTCCTCCAGGACCCGTAACTTGGATTTGCGGTTTAGCAGGTCAAACACCTTTAAATATAAAACACAAAGGCGGTTCAGTGTTTGACGTCACGGCGCCCTCTCAGAGCAGACGCAGGTCTAATCACCATCCCATAGGCAACCAGGATTTAACTAAAATTACGTAAACTACAGAGATGGTGAGGAGGCGCCTTGTTTCCAAGCTTTGTCTGAGACTTTGAAAAGCACCGCTGTAGTTTAAATTTGAAAAAATATGATTTATAATATTATAAATATACTATTTCTCAAGTGTCATATCAACCCATATTCAATTCGCATAGTAGGCTGTGAAGTAAGCGCTCGGTTGTAAGGTTGATATTCGCTGAAGGACACGTGTGGATGCTTTAGTGCCATCTAGTGGTGAAGTTGCAGATTGCAGCTAACTGAAAACTCCTGGCGTCTGTGTTTAACGACCTGGGAATAAGAACAGGTAGGAAGCGCGGAGGAGAAACTACGGTGTTATAAAACCCACGAAAAACATCTGTTTCAGTGTTTGCTTCGTCCCTTCTGGGCTACTGTAGAAACACGGCGATCGCCATGGATAAGATAAACGATAATTACCTGCTTCTCGTGGCCGATACCGATAATTTTACAGGTTTTGTGTTTTAAAAAGAAGTTCACAACCTGAAGTTTTTACACACGAGTTCTGAACTAACCGATCACTACTATTAATAACAGTTCTTGGTTCTTCAAATGTTCTTTAAAAACACACTTTGGCTTTCATAGAACATAAAGTCTATCAATCATTCTGCATCGGAATTCAAAATAAATTATTATTAATATCAACCAATAATGTGTAGCTTCTAATTTAAGTATCCAGATCCTTTAAAATAACATAAATGTCCTAAATATCAGCAGAGACGGGAGTGATTCAAAAAGTTAAGTAGGCTGATAAAAT